CACCACTGCCATCTCGGTGTAAGTAAACAATCTTTTAAACTACCGCTACGCGTCCGTGCCTAATTCCAGCTCAAAGGCCTTCCCTCTCCGCCCCGGCGTGCCCGGGCTGCTGGCCACAGCCCGCGTGCAGCGCGAAAAGGGCTCGGGTCTCTCCCGGCCCGCACACATACTAAAAATCAAACATTGAAAATAACATATTTTAATCTTATTTAAAATATATATGTTTCCCTGATTTGTATGTGTTTATATGGTGTATATAGAGGTGATTGCATAATATCTCAAAATGAGGTCTTACTCTCATATATTGTAGGGAGAGCGGGGTGAAGGGGGAGGTGGGTATGGGATGTGTGATAATTGGTATGGGGTTGTGGGTAGGTGTGTGGGGGTGGGGATTTGGTTTGTTTGGGGCTGTGGGGTGTATGGAGGGGGGTGGCTGGGGTGGGCATGGGGTATGCATGGGGAGGTGTAGATGTGTGTGTGTGGTGGGGTATATGCACATAGTAGTGAGCAGAACTCCCCCCAGAGGCACATGGGTGTGTGGGGGGTTGCTTGTGGGGCTTGTGGGGAGGAGGCTGTAGGTGGGTGCAGTGTTTGTAGGGTGTGTGATTGTGTGTGTGGGAGGGTGTGGTTGTGTGGTTTGCGGTGGAGGGTATGTGGGTATGATGGGGGTGTGCATAACAGCCCCCCACGCGTACCCCCCTGAGCCTGGTCGGCACCTACCCCTGCTCCACAACAGCCCAGAGCCCACGTTTCCTTGCAGCATGTCCTCGCCACCACCAGCAGCGTGCAGTCCCAGCCCACCCCACTCCTGCTCCAGACTCACCTCCACCGGAGCAGATCAGCCGGAACCTTTAGCCCCAGCCTGGCCTGCCCTGCACCTGCACCTGCTGTGCCTGCCTGTGGTGCATCCTGCCTCCCCTTGGGCATGCGGTGGGGCTGGGGCAGTTCTGCAGCTGGACTGCCTTTCTAGGCAAGGAAAAGTGGTGCCTCCCCCGCACCACTGCTGGGCCTTTCATGCTGCAGCTGCCTGGAGCCTGCATCATGCTGGACTGCCCTGCATCTGCTCTGTGCTGCCACCGCTGCCCTGATGGGCAGCCCAATGCAGGGCAGCCCAGCACAGTGTGGGCTTCAGATAGCTGCAGCAGGAACAGCCCAGCAATGGCAAGGTGGAGGAGTCGCTTTTCTCCCTATGCTGAGCAACAGCTTCTGTCTGGTGCTGTCACTGCTGAGCATGGGTGGGTGAGCCTGGAGCAGGTGTGGGGCATGCAAGGTCTAGGCTGTGCAGTGCAGGTCCCCACTGGTACTGCAGGGCTGAGGCCAGCGGCAATAGCCGCTGGAAGGAGCCACCACCACCTGGGCTTCCTAGAAAGGCAGTCCAGCTGCAGAGCCACTGCAGCCCCACTGCGTGCCTGGGGGTGGCAGGACATGCCATGGCTGGATTGTGCCTGGACCAGGCAGGATCGAGGGACCCACTGCAGGCTGGACAAAAATCCACTGCGAGTTGGATCTGACCCATGGGCCATATTTTGCCCAGCCTTGTAGTAGGTGCTTATCTGTACTCTTAGGTGTGTATTTCAATACCTTCTATAATATGGACCTAAGGCATTAAACGAGTTGAAACTGGTATAGTTAAGAAAGACTATAAGGTAACAAGAACAAAACTTGCTATTTCAAATGTTAAATCACGTGACTTATCTTCTCAAAGAAAATAGTAGGAGAATTATCATTCTATATTGTGAATGCTGTAGATGCTGTAGTATAACACCAACTTCAGGATTTTCTGAAGTAGTGTAAGTGAGATTTGAATCAGACCCATTAAAACAAAAGCTTCTTCCTGGGCTGTTTCAGCCATTAAGACACAATTGGAGGTAATTTATTCTTCAATGGTTCTTCCCATATGCTGTATCTCTATTTTTCACAGAGATAATATATAACAATATAGGTGTGATATATGGAAATTCCAATAAGCCACATGAAAAATAACTTTGTAGCAGGACAGTCTCATGTATATATACTCAAGTATTTGATTTAATTCATTCAGAAGATGCATTAAACTAGTTTTATGTCAGTTTTAAATAGTAATCACCTGCAACCATTAAATTTCGATAATAGGTTTATAGACACATTAAACCAGAGTCATAGGCATAAGCAATACTAGGGCCAAATACATATTCTC